CTTCGATTCCTCTTCCTGAGACAACGTGTCCCAGGAACGGGACTTGATTCTTGAAGAACTCACACTTGGACAGTTTGGCATACAACTTGTGCTCGCGTAGCTTGGCCAGCACGCGGGCGACATGACCTTCATGGGTCGCTTCATCCTTGCTGTACACAAGGATATCATCCAGGTACACGATGACAGAGTTGTCGAGCTCTTGGCGGAACACATCGTTCATCAGCTGCATGAACGTGGCAGGTGCGTTCGTCAATCCGAACGGCAGCACTAGGAACTCGTACAGTCCGTAGCGAGTCCTGAAGGCGGTCTTGTGGACATCATCCTCGTGGATGCGGATCTGATGGTAGCCTGAGCGGAGGTCTATCTTGCTAAAGACCTTTGCTCCACTCAGACGATCCATCAACTCGTCGATCCTGGGCAACGGGTAGGTGTTCTTGATGGTCTGTTTGTTTAGTGCGCGATAGTCGACGCACATCCTGAGATCACCTTCTTTCTTCTTGACAAAGAGCACTGGTGCACCATACGGTGACTGGCTCGGGCGGATGAACCCATGGGCGAGGAGGTCATCCAACTGGCGCTTGAGTTCGTCCATCTCCGTCAGCGACAGTTGGTACGTCGGTCTTGACGGAGGCGACGAGCCTGGTTCGATGTCGATGCGATGATCGACGGTGCGTTGGGGTGGCAGGCATTGTGGCAACTGGTCGGGGAATACGTCCTTGTACTCGTCGAGCAGCTTGGTCACCACAGGCGGGGGACCGGGACCGGCTTGGTCGGTGTCGTCGACCTCACGCACGACACAGAGGAACGACGTGTCCTTCTTGATCAGCCTCTTGAATTGCATGGCTGAGAGGAGAGGTGGCATGTTGGGTGAGGCCATGCCCTGCAGGACAATGTCAGGGCCAACACGGACAGTGCGGCCTTTCCAGTCGACGACTGGAGTCGGCTCGGCACGAGCAAGCCAGCTCATGCCGAGGATGGCATCGAACTTGGTGTCGATCACTTGGAACAACAGGACAGGATGGTACTTGGGATGGAGGGCCACTCGCAGGACCACTTGGTGTGTGCACTGCTGCACACGATCGTCTGCAAGCGCCACACTCATCGGCGACTTCTTCTTGGTTGCATGTATGTTGAGCTCCTGGAGCAAGCGTCTGCTGACAAAGTTGCAGCTTGCTCCAGAGTCCACCATCATTCGGACGGTGTGACCTTGGACGGTGGCAGGGAGGTACAGCAGGGACTCTTCATGGTCCTCCTGCACAGCCTCCTGCACCATGACTTGACTTGGGGGAACGGGCGACACTTGGTCTTGGTTGGCTTCATCACGGCCACTCGGACATTTTGGATAGGGTTCGGCCATTGCGGGGGCCTGCGGCGTCAGCACGCCATTGCACACGACGTCCACGGCTTGCGGACACATGTCGGAAGCATCCGACACACACGACTTGACAGGGGTGAGGGCACAGGCGGTCCTGTCCCTCAAGGGTTCTTGATTTTCTTTTTTGTTTTGGTTTTCAATTTTGGTTTTCTCTTCACGTTCGTGGAGAGGCAGGCGGCTTGCGCCACCATGCACCTCTCGCACGACGCACAACACTTGGTTTGTTTCTCCTTCGGGGGAGGGGGCGAGGTGAACTTCCTCTGGAGACGCGTGGACTGCATTGAGCAATCCACGGCGTTGGTCTCCTACTAGGGCTCCAGAGCCACCTAGTAGGGTCGGCCGTTTCCCGACTTCATGGGGCACTCCTTGGCCTGGTGTCCCGGTCGGTGACAGAAGAAGCAGGAACCATGGCGGAGGTCCTCCTGCTTCTGTCTGTCCTTGGGGGAGACAGTGGCAGCTTGCTGGAACCGGGAGCGGGGAGGGCCACGAGCCTCCATGGCGTTGACGTCAACGTCCATGGGCTCAGGCATGGGTCTTGCGGGCGGGGCCGGGCGAGGCGGACGGGCTGGGACGTGATGAGACCGATGGCCGCCTGCCAGCTGCGGGTAGAACTGGCGGCCATGGTACTGGACGTTGTCGAGGTTCTCGGCAACGTCCATCATCACGTCCAGGGACTTGCGGGCATCAGGGTTGCTGGCGATGTACTCTCTGATCTTGGGCTTGAGGCCCTTCTGGAAGAGGTACATCGCATCAGCAGAGCCCAGCTCCTCAATCTGGGAGGAGAGGTCTTCAAACTCCTCGATGTAGCGGGTCACAGAACCACGCTGCACGAGAGAGTATAGCTTGTCACGGGCAATGAGTTCAGCATTGGGGCTGCCGAAGCGGCGACGGAGGCGGTCCTTGAAGTCGTCAAACACACCTTCGCTCTGCTCGTCGAACCCTTGGCGGCGGTACCAACGGTACGCCTGGTCCTTTAAGCAGAGCTTGGCGGCGACGATGTGGTGGGTGGGGGCGACTTGGGCAGCATCGAGGTAGTCCTCGAGTTGCTGCAGCCAGTCCTCCACCGAGGAGGAGCGGCTCTTCCCAGTAAACACTGGGGCACGGAAGGTCTTGAGGAAGGCTTCCGGAAGTGGGCGGGGGTTGCTCATGGCAGGGGCAGGCTCCAGGGACAGAGAGGAGAGTCGGTCGGCAAGAGAGGCGGGATCCAGCTTGAGGATCTAGAAAGAGGACAAACAGGACGAAAACAAGACGAGGATTTCCGATGCTACCATGCAACGTCCACTACTGGGACGTTGGGGCAAGACGGGGAGGGAGGGGGTACAAGACAAGACAGGACGGGGCAGAACAGGGCGGTGCTAGGCTACTCTAGCGGACGGGTGAGCTCGGGGAGCACTTACGTTTATTCACGATAAAACCGAACTCCAGACAAACGGGGGGAACGGGGGCAACCCGCAGGTATACCCTGCGGTGGCCTGCCTGCGGTGCGTGAAAACGCAAAGCGCAGCACAGGTCACGACCCACTGCGCCGCGCAGTACGCGCAGTACGCGCAGCACAGCGTCGGAGATACCATCTCCTACAACGTCGCTTTTTCTCGACGTCGGAGAGCTTAGCAGGGCGGACCGAGACAGAGTCAAGGTCCATGGGAGTGGGTGCAGAAGAGGAGGAAGAAGAAACATGCGCGGGAGAATGGTGGTGATGGGGAGCAGAGCGAGAAGAAGGAGGAGGAGGTTGGGAACGGGAGGAGACCTTGAGACGATGAAGGGCATCGTCGTACTCGACCGCTGCCTTGATCAACTCAGGCAAGGAAGCGGGAGCGGGGCGGAGACCGATGAGGTGGAACTTGACCTCAGACTTCAGACCCTCCTTGAAGAAGTGCATCTTGGTGGGTTCATCGGTCTGGACGCGGGCGGCAAGCTGGACGAAGCGGGTGGCAAAGGCTTGGCAGGACTTGAGCTGGACCAAGCGCTTGAGGTCGTTCAAGGCCTTATCTTGCGAGGAGGCCGTGTCCTCACCGAAGGTCGACTTGAGGGCAACTTCGAAATCGGCGAAGGAAGCGGGGAAACGGTTGGCCATGTAGAATGCGGCCTCGTACCACTTGAAGGCCTCGCCGCGGAGGAAGGAGGTGGCGTAGAGGACCTTCTGGCGCTCGGGCGCAAAGAAGGCAGGATCGGCGAGGAAGACCAGGTGGCACTGGGCGAGGAAGGCCGTCGTCTCGTCCCGGGAACCTAGGAACTCCTTGGGCTTGTTCACCTGGTAGACCTGGCGGGGAGCGGCGGCGGGAGCTTGCAGATCTTGGATCTGACGATGGAGAGCAGCGTTCTGGGTCATGAGGGCGTTCATACGCTCCTCCATGCGCGCCAGATACGCATTCAAGTCTGCAGGGGGTGCAGCAGGCTCAGCCATCGGATCGGTAAGGGAAAGAGAGGCGAAAGAAGAAGAAAGGCCGGGAAGCCAAGAGGGAGCGTTCAAAATGATGTTAGAGTCCAAAGGGGACTCAGCGGCAAAAGAAGAAGTGAGCTCGAAGTGAGCTCAGGGAAAGCAAGGGTAAAGTCCGAAGTGGACTCGGAGAGGGAGCGAGGGAAGCAAAGATCCGTTCAAGATAAGACTAGTCTCGAAATGAGACGTGAGGAACACTCAGAGAATAAAGTAGAAGGCACTTTATTTAGTCCTATTTTGAACGCTGAGGTTCGACTACACATCGCGGGGGTCAGGCTATTTATAGACAAGTCCGGACTTGGCAGCGAAGGGCGGCCAAGGGAGGGAAAAGTGGGCGATCGAGCGGGGCGAAGGGGGCGATGCACGAACGAGGGCCGAGAAGGACCACCGAGATAGGCAGAGAACCAAAGCGAGAGAGGCGCAAGCAAAAGCGAAGCACCTGGCAGGAGAAACGTGCAAAGGCGAAGCAATGTGACTCAACGTCCAAGAAGCGGATTGGTCAAGTATAAGGTTGGGGCAAATGCATGCGAGATGAACAAGAGATCGGGGCGGTCAGGCAGGTCATGAGTCACCGGTGGGGGACACATGACCGGCAGCCGAATTGCAACCAATCGCAGCAAGGCGCGTGCACAAACAAACCGGCGCGTGCGAAGAAGACAAAGGAAGCGGAGCAGCGCGGGGAAACGGAAGTGCGGAAGGAGCGGAAAAGACAGGCAAAAGGCGGAAAATCGGAGGGGAACTGCAAAGCTACACACAAACAAACAGAAAGGCAAAAGAACAGCCAAGTGTGCAGTCAAGGTGGAAAACAAGCAGGAGCTATCCCTAACACCACACCCGTCCGGGCCGATGCAGAGACCGGCATCCTCGCCCGTATCCGTGTGGCAGGCGCTGACGAGCTCTGGAGTGGATCGTCGTTCAGGATGCGGTGTGAGTTCAGCACGGCCCTCTGCATATCCAGGCGGATGCCCTTGATCCTCTGGCGGAAATGCTCGACCTGGATGTCCTTTGCGCCCGAGTTGGGATGCAGGGCCATATAGCGATCCATCTCGACAAGGGCGTCGTTCAGCTCGCCTTGGAGCACACGTATGAATGGGGACTGGCTCATTTTCGTTTTGTATGAGTGTGCTGCTGCATTTTCTTCAATATATTTTCACTGTGCAAACCAGCAGGACCCGACCGATTCCCACCATGACATACCACCGGCCCGGTACGCCTTATGCGTTGCTTGAAGCAAAGCTGATCGACCATATGACCCCAAAGGTGTATGAGGGTATTATGGAGCTCTGGAAATACTCGATCAAGCACTCGACGACACCTCTGCAGCGCTTCCAGAATGCAATGACGCTGATCCCGCAGTGGACGAACGAGGCGATCGATAAGGAAACGCACCGCATCTCCAGCACCGCCCGCTTTTCCCTGGGTGGTATGCTGGACCACATCCTCTCTGGGTATCTGACGGATCTGACGTTAACGTCGACTTCTTCCCCGCATGAAAAGGTCAAGTCGAACAAGGATCTGCTGAAGGACTTTGTGCACCACGCATACATCGAGTGTGGCAGGCATTTCCACGGCTGCCCGACGGCAGTCGACCACCTGGCATCTGCCCCGCATTCGCTGGACGACAAGATCCGCAGGTACAACAGCTGCGAGGAGATCATCCGGAAGGCACTGCGATCGACCTTGATTAACATGATCCCATTCGAGGACGTCCTTATCGAGCTGAACAATATGCCCCCGCAGCCGCTCTTTGCCGCACCGCCTGCACCCGCCCAGCCAGCACACTCGGCATCCGAGATGTCATCGGTCGACAGCGCATCGATCAAGACGCTGACGGATCGCTTAGAGAGACTCGAGCTGCTGCTGATGAAGCAAGCATTGCAGCAGCAACCGCATTCGCCGCGCATCCAGTTCCCAGCGACCAAGTCGCCGCCCACGGAAACGGAGGACGATGCGTCGGTCGCCCGCATTGAAGTCGAGCATGAGGATGAGGGTGAACCCGAACCCGAGCATGAGCCTGCGCCTGCGCCGGTGCCAAATGTCGAAGACGCGCCACCCGCTTGTGACGACCAGGTACCAGAGCTGCCGGTGGCCGACGATCTCGTTCAACCCCTGACGCAACCCGGAACCGTCGTTCCCGAGATCAAGTTTGTGCAAGTATCCAACCCCGCATTTCGCATCGGCCCTCCATCATCTGTGGCCGGAGCGGACAACAGCGTCGACAGGACGTTGGGATTGTAGGCGTTGGATGTTTTTTTCTATCACCAGAGAAGCAATACAGTGCCCACACTGGCTTTCTTCAACTCGGTCCAAATGGCTCTTCAATCCTCCACCGGTCTCTGGATTGTCATCTTTGTCTTGATCGCTCTGGTCATCCACATGCACCTGCGCCTGATGGAGCTCGAAAGCGGTGCCCCCAGTCGTCACGGTTATGGCAGCCGCAAGACCAGCAACGGTCGCAAGCAGTGGTGGCACAACGGAATCAAGCGTGTGGGTGGGCTTTGGGAATATCTCGCCGACACCCCGACGGCCGCATCGGCTCCCACCACTACCACCAGCACCAGCGCAAATGCATCGGCCACGCCGTCGACGGCGCAGAACACGACTATGTCGTCGACTTCAATGTCGTCGTCTATTGTGAACCCGGACGACATCGCCATACCCAGCGACCCCACCACAGGCGCCAGCGCGGCCATCACCGGACCGCTCGCTCCCTACGATTACGAGGAGGGGCAGTACGCACTGTGGAAGGCTCCTTCTGCGAAATAGCTCTAAGGGTATTTTTCTCGTATGTGGATATACGACGAGCCCAATAGCACAATGGAGTGTCCACGCACCATCAACTTCAACGGCCACACCATCCACATCCGCATCTGGCAAGACGCCGACTGCAAGGAGCTCCATCTCAACTCACGCGATTGCCTTCGTATCCTCTACCCGGCAACACCCCGAGTATTCCACAACCTCAACGCCAAGTGCAAACGCCTCACTGGCATCGATCACCCGAGATATGCGATAGTCAAGGGCAACATTCGATACCTCAATATCCACCAGCTCGAAGAACTGGTGGCGATCCTCAAGGTCGAGGTCACCGGCGGCCAGGAGATGCTCAATCGATTGATCATCATGTTGAAAGCTGTGGAGGATGATGCAGTCATCATGACACCCGAGGCCTATCCTATGAGCGCCGGCTGTAGGAGATGGTATCTCCGACGCTGTGCTGCGCGTACTGCGCGTACTGCGCGGCGCAGTGGGTCGTGACCTGTGCTGCGCTTTGCGTTTTCACGCACCGCAGGCAGGCCACCGCAGGGTATACCTGCGGGTTGCCCCCGTTCCCCCCGTTTGTCTGGAGTTCGGTTTTATCGTGAATAAACGTAAGTGCTCCCCGAGCTCACCCGTCCGCTAGAGTAGCCTAGCACCGCCCTGTTCTGCCCCGTCCTGTCTTGTCTTGTACCCCCTCCCTCCCCGTCTTGCCCCAACGTCCCAGTAGTGGACGTTACATGGTAGCATCGGAAATCCTCGTCTTGTTTTCGTCCTGTTTGTCCTCTTTCTAGATCCTCAAGCTGGATCCCGCCTCTCTTGCCGACCGACTCTCCTCTCTGTCCCTGGAGCCTGCCCCTGCCATGAGCAACCCCCGCCCACTTCCGGAAGCCTTCCTCAAGACCTTCCGTGCCCCAGTGTTTACTGGGAAGAGCCGCTCCTCCTCGGTGGAGGACTGGCTGCAGCAACTCGAGGACTACCTCGATGCTGCCCAAGTCGCCCCCACCCACCACATCGTCGCCGCCAAGCTCTGCTTAAAGGACCAGGCGTACCGTTGGTACCGCCGCCAAGGGTTCGACGAGCAGAGCGAAGGTGTGTTTGACGACTTCAAGGACCGCCTCCGTCGCCGCTTCGGCAGCCCCAATGCTGAACTCATTGCCCGTGACAAGCTATACTCTCTCGTGCAGCGTGGTTCTGTGACCCGCTACATCGAGGAGTTTGAAGACCTCTCCTCCCAGATTGAGGAGCTGGGCTCTGCTGATGCGATGTACCTCTTCCAGAAGGGCCTCAAGCCCAAGATCAGAGAGTACATCGCCAGCAACCCTGATGCCCGCAAGTCCCTGGACGTGATGATGGACGTTGCCGAGAACCTCGACAACGTCCAGTACCATGGCCGCCAGTTCTACCCGCAGCTGGCAGGCGGCCATCGGTCTCATCACGTCCCAGCCCGTCCGCCTCGCCCGGCCCCGCCCGCAAGACCCATGCCTGAGCCCATGGACGTTGACGTCAACGCCATGGAGGCTCGTGGCCCTCCCCGCTCCCGGTTCCAGCAAGCTGCCACTGTCTCCCCCAAGGACAGACAGAAGCAGGAGGACCTCCGCCATGGTTCCTGCTTCTTCTGTCACCGACCGGGACACCAGGCCAAGGAGTGCCCCATGAAGTCGGGAAACGGCCGACCCTACTAGGTGGCTCTGGAGCCCTAGTAGGAGACCAACGCCGTGGATTGCTCAATGCAGTCCACGCGTCTCCAGAGGAAGTTCACCTCGCCCCCTCCCCCGAAGGAGAAACAAACCAAGTGTTGTGCGTCGTGCGAGAGGTGCATGGTGGCGCAAGCCGCCTGCCTCTCCACGAACGTGAAGAGAAAACCAAAATTGAAAACCAAAACAAAAAAGAAAATCAAGAACCCTTGAGGGACAGGACCGCCTGTGCCCTCACCCCTGTCAAGTCGTGTGTGTCGGATGCTTCCGACATGTGTCCGCAAGCCGTGGACGTCGTGTGCAATGGCGTGCTGACGCCGCAGGCCCCCGCAATGGCCGAACCCTATCCAAAATGTCCGAGTGGCCGTGATGAAGCCAACCAAGACCAAGTGTCGCCCGTTCCCCCAAGTCAAGTCATGGTGCAGGAGGCTGTGCAGGAGGACCATGAAGAGTCCCTGCTGTACCTCCCTGCCACCGTCCAAGGTCACACCGTGTTAGGGATAGCTCCTGCTTGTTCTCCACTTTGACTGCACACTTGGCTATTCTTTTGCCTTTCTGTTTGTTTGTGTGTAGCCTTGCAGTTCCCCTCCGATTTTCCGCCTTTTGCCTGTCTTTTCCGCTCCTTCCGCACTTCCGTTTTCCCGCGCTGCTCCGCTTCCTTTGTCTTCTTCGCACGCGCCGGTTTGTTTGTGCACGCGCCTTGCTGCGATTGGTTGCAATTCGGCTGCCGGTCATGTGTCCCCCCACCGGTGACTCATGACCTGCCTGACCGCCCCGATCTCTTGTTCATCTCGCATGCATTTGCCCCAACCTTATACTTGACCAATCCGCTTCTTGGACGTTGAGTCACATTGCTTCGCCTTTGCACGTTTCTCCTGCCAGGTGCTTCGCTTTTGCTTGCGCCTCTCTCGCTTTGGTTCTCTGCCTGTCTCGGTGGTCCTTCTCGGCCCTCGTTCGTGCATCGCCCCCTTCGCCCTGCTCGATCGCCCACTTTTCCCTCCCTTGGCCGCCCTTCGCTGCCAAGTCCGGACTTGTCTATAAATAGCCTGACCCCCGCGATGTGTAGTCGAACCTTAGCGTTCAAAATAGGACTAAATAAAGTGCCTTCTACTTTATTCTCTGAGTGTTCCTCACGTCTCATTTCGAGACTAGTCTTATCTTGAACGGATCTTTGCTTCCCTCGCTCCCTCTCCGAGTCCACTTCGGACTTTACCCTTGCCTTCCCTGAGCTCACTTCGAGCTCACTTCTTCTTTTGCCGTTGAGTCCCCTTCGGACTCTAACATCATTTTGAACGCTCCCTCTTGGCTTCCCGGCCTTTCTTCTTCTTTCGCCTCTCTTTCCCTCGTCGATCCGATGGCTGAGCCTGCTGCACCCCCTGCAGACCTCAACGCGTATCTGGCGCGCATGGAGGAGCGTATGAACGCCCTCATGACCCAGAACGCTGCTCTCCATCGTCAGATCCAAGATCTGCAAGCTCCCGCCGCCGCTCCCCGCCAGGTCTACCAGGTCAACAAGCCCAAGGAGTTCCTAGGTTCCCGCGATGAAACGACGGCCTTCCTCGCCCAGTGCCACCTGGTTTTCCTCGCCGATCCTGCCTTCTTCGCGCCCGAGCGCCAGAAGGTCCTGTACGCCACCTCCTTCCTCCGCGGCTGAAGCCTTCAAAGTGGTACGAGGCCGCCTTCTACATGGCCAACCGCTTCCCGGCTTCCTTCGCGGATTTTGAAGTTGCCCTCAAGTCGACCTTCGGTGAGGACACGGCCTCCTCGCAAGATAAGGCCTTGAACGACCTCAAGCGCTTGGTCCAGCTCAAGTCCTGCCAAGCCTTCGCCACCCGCTTCGTCCAGCTCGCCGCCCGCGTCCAGACTGATGAACCCACCAAGATGCACTTCTTCAAGGAGGGTTTGAAGTCTGAGGTCAAGTTCCACCTCATCGGTCTCCGCCCCGCTCCCGCTTCCCTGCCTGAGTTGATCAAGGCAGCGGTCGAGTACGACGATGCCCTCCATCGTCTCAAGATCTCCTCCCGTTCCCAACCTCCTCCTCCTTCTTCTCGCTCTGCTCCCCATCACCACCATTCTCCCGCGCATGTTTCTTCTTCCTCCTCTTCTGCACCCACTCCCATGGACCTTGACTCTGTCTCGGTCCGCCCTGCTAAGCTCTCCGACGTCGAGAAAAAGCGACGTCGTGAGCAGGGTCTCTGCCTGTACTGCGGGGAAAAGTCTTGTCCCGGCAGTCGCGATGTTCAGCAGTGCCCGGTTCTGGTCAAACGGAACTCGGGAAATGCCCACAGCCGAGCAGCACCTCGCAAGTAAGCGAGGTGGTCTGTTCGGCGATACGAACATCTTCCCCCTCTGACTCGTCATTATCGGACGATAAGCTTCTTCTTCCGGCCACCCTTGTCGTCATGAGTCTTTCTGGCCCGGTCTCCATCTCCCTTTCTGTCTTTATTGATGATGGATGCACCGCTCTTGCCCTCATTGATCCTGCCTTTGCGGATCTCCATAAACTCTCTCTTATCCCTCTTTCTACTCCCTACTCCGTTTCCCTTGCTGATGGTTCTTCGGCCGGTTTCATTCGTTTCCAAACCGTTCCTGTGACGTTGACCATTGGTTCCCACACCGAGTCGATTTCTTTTCTTGTGACTCGACTCTCCACCACTCCCATCACTCTTGGTCTTCCCTGGATGCGCTTGCATAATCCAGTTGTCAATTGGAAGTCCCTCTCCCTTTCGTTCTCCGATCCCTCTTGCCTTGCTGATGGACACATCCTCGCGGATGTCTCTGCTTCCTCCTTGGACACTTCGTCCCCTTCCGGCTATTCGCCTCCCCCTTCGGGCACTTCGCCTTTGACTCCTCCCTCCGGTCCTTCCCTTACACCGGTTCCCTCCTTTGGCACTTCGCCTTCCCTTTCTTCCCGCCTTGACTCTGCTTCGCTTTCTGAAGAGCCAACGGCTTTATCTTCGCCCGACATTGAGCTCGTTAATGCGGCGAGTCTTCTCCGTCTTGCACGGGAAGACAAGCTCGACATTTTCGCTGCCCAAATGGATATCCGTCCTCCTTCGCCGGAGGACTATCCTACGGTGTCGATAAGGTCCGTGCTCACGACGAGGTGTATGCCGAGTCTGGCACCCCTGTTTGACTCTCGAGGTGTCCCGCTCAAGATCACATGAGTTGGCGACGTTTTCAGCCTCAAGTCGGACCTCCTTCTTCCTTGCCTCCTCACCGTCCGTATGACTTGTCTATTGAGTTTGTACGGACCGAGGATGGAAAGGAACCTCGGTTTGCCAAAGCCGGGGAAAGTCTATCCTTTGTCCCCGGCCGAGGAATCTGCTCTTTCGGAGTATCTGACCACGCCCTCGCACGTGGTTGATCTCCAAATCCTCTTCTCCCGTTGTGCTCCCTTCTTTCTTCGTGAAGAAGCCCATGGTGGGTCTTCGGCCTTTGCGTCGACTACCGGGCCTCA